GCCCAAGTTCTACGCGGTGCCGCACAACCGCGTGGCCGAGGAAGGCGAGACGGTGCGCTTCCAGTGCGCGGTGGCCGGCCATCCGGCGCCCTGGGTCACGTGGGACAAGGACGGGCTGCTGGTCACGCCCAGCGCCCGCCTCACGCTCACCGAGAAGGACGACCTGCGCACGCTCACGCTCGAGGAGGTGACCCCCGAGGACGCGGGCCTGTACCGCGTCACGCTCGAGAACGAGGTCGGCCGCGTCGAGGCCAGCGCCCGCCTCGAAGTCATAGGTAAGTGAGGGCGCAACAAGCCTCTTTATACACACCCATCTGCGACTCGCCCCATCCCATCCACACCTCACAACACGGACGTCTCTGTGTTAAGCATTCCATGTTACTGCGTCAGCGACCCTGTCTTTTTAATACTATTAGAGATATTTTCATATGACTGTGCTATCTTCGATTGTTTAAAAAACAATCAAACCTCAAGCCGTCGGCCTAAACTTACTAAAAAAAGAAACGTTTCGCGACACAATGGGGCCGCATCATCAGATAGTCTGAAACCAAATAGTACTTGTTAAAATAATTATCCTTTAACAGAACCTTATTGTCTTGAACTTTTTGAGGATGCCACTGTCATATAAATATATAGTATGTCGTACAATCATTGATTGCTGTGTTATTTTCGGGTTTTTATTTTCTCGTCAGCACAATATCGTATCAGTTATAGTATTGCACCTGCAATGATTTACATGTGTCCGACATATATTAAATGAACAAATGCATTAAAGCAATCTCAAATCTGCGATGTAAGGAGTAGCATTGTCTCCCATTGTCTCCTTCAACACTGAGATGAGCGCGAGTGGAGCAGCCGCCTGTTGCTTTTCGTTTCGAAGTCCGACCACTCAACGAACCATCGTTCGATATGTCAAACGCTGAAGGGGGTCCATCTCAGAATTTGCAACCTTCATTCTTCTGCGAATAGGAGGAACCAACATTATAAACATGTGTGTTTTTTTTTCTTCCGTATTAAGGAAGTTTCAGGATTATGGCCGCTTGCTTGTGTGTTTTATTCATCTTCGCTGCTTAGATGGTTTTCTTAATGAAATGTGATGAAATAGGTATTTTATCCAATTAAAAAAAGAGTGAGTCAGAATGAATGAATCAGAGTGAGTGGAATAAATCGCATTTATTTATTTCCCATTTGGTGGAAAATTTGTTGGAAACAAAATTTGGTGGAATTATTTTTAAATGAAAATATTAATTATATTTTTTCAACTGACTTCCGAAATTCAACTTCTATTACACTGTTTTTTACTTAATAGTCACGACCTTCATGATCATTTAGGTTAAAAAAATTAAAGACGATATTTTGTATTAATGTATCTGATCTCATTCTTTTTGTTGAGCATTGCCAGTAATCTACATGTTCTAAACCGACGTAAAATAGTTAAGCATCAAAACGAGGACCTTTTTTCGTTATTGATTTACAGTATAGTTCAGACTACTTGACATGAAGTAAAAAAAACTGGTTGATTCTTCCTGATGTTTCACTAGAATTACTCTCATGAGAAATAAAATAAAACGATTTCACATTTGTAATCGGATCTCTATATATTTTTGAACTTAGTTAGGGGAATGATCTCACTTGAACAGATTTCCGCTATTATGTTAGGAAGAACTGTTTTCTTTGCAACTAGTTTCGCACTGAACTACGCTTTCACTTTTATATCTATATTTTTATACTTCATTAACATGTTTCGCTGCGAATGACATGTTCCCTCTTTTTCACGTCGGGTACTACTTTATAATTGCAGTGCATTGTCTCTCAACAGAGCAATGAACTCCATTTCGTTACTATTATATCATCACAATCGCGACACATCTTCACAATTGCTCATTTATATGATTGAGCTATTGACACATGAAATGGACTTTAAACTTTCCAGGAGCTTACGACCCGACTTAAATTATCATCTTCCTACTTAGAGCAAATAAACGAAGATAAGGAGAATAATTTTCTTCCATTTCTTAGTGAAATAATTTCAAAAAATTATGCATATTGTGAAGATTGCACTGAAATTATACAATGAACTTCATCTCCTTTCAAAGACACGATGGTTTTTGTTATATTTCCTTGTCGTCTGGGAACAAAAAAGTATTTTGAATTTCCTTACATCTTGATACTCCTAAATATCGAATGAACCAAAACTAATAAAAGGATCCTCTTGAAAGCACTGATCCCCGAACTGCCT